AACGGCAAGTTTAAGCTTCTTCCAACTTGCTCTTTATTATATCAATATTTCATGAGCTACGAAAGTATTTAGTACGCAAATTAACTCTAGAAAATCTGATTAAAATGTTTCAAATTGTGATGAACATTTTTTTTTTTTATAAATGTTTTACAACAAAATTGTATGTCCCGATTTTTGGCTACAGTAATCTGGTCACCATAACTGCCAGTATATAAAAATTCGTAACATTTGTTTTATTGAAAAATTAAGTAGAAAATTTTTATAAATTTTATATCTGAAGTCTGGTAAATTTTCCGCTGCAGAAAATTACTTCAAAAATAAAATCGAAGAAAACTCTAACGCTGTTGTTTTGTTGCAGTAGCTTACTAAATTTTGTGATTTTTATTGATTTTCGATGAATGGTCTATCTGTGGCAGACTATATTAGTATAGTCGGTCAGGTTCAGCATATGTTTTATACCCACTCTCGAGAAAACGGGCTCTACATGCTCGAATTTTTCCCGACAAATGTGAATGACAAACTCAGTTAAAAATTAAAGTTTCGATAACGTCATTAACGCGGTAAGGACTTTTATTTCCTTACAACAAAAATTGCTGTTTCCCAAAACCTGCTCTCGTTTTCTTAAGTAAAAATTTAAATTTCTAGCAGTATTTCTTCCTAAAAATGAATTTCCGCCACACCAGACACGCTTCACTTGCTGCACGATTGCATTTGTAAATCCTCCCTCTTTAACTGTGAAGTGAATTATTGCACTTGCATAAGCAATAAAGTTCAAATGAATTATATTGAATATGAAATTATTTCCTACAACAACAACAACAACAAAAAAGCCCCGCATTAACAATAGAAATTTTGCATTGTTTAGTGTATCACAGTGATGTTGTAAGATTTTGTGAGAATCGGATTCAAATGCGGCAGTTATTATTTAATTCCAAGTGAAATATACCAGCAACCAAAAAAACAAAAAAAAAAACAAGCTACAACAATAGCAGCAGCAGGAGCAGCAAAAGTGGCAACAACACCGAATGCCACAGCAGCAGGCCAATGACATGACAAGAGTAGTATGAAGACAAAAACCAAAAAAAAAAAACGAAACGAAAAACTTAAGCGGCAAACTGCATGCATATGCAAACGGCGTACGAGTAAAATCACAGCCTCACTGTATGGTAATGTGGGTACGAGTACTATTAGTATGTATGTAGATAGCACCAAAGAGTTAAAAATCAAGCGCAATTGAGACTGTAGAGGAAATAAATGCTGAAAAGCTTAGACAGCCACATAGCTGCAAAAAGCCAACTGAAAAATGAAGGGTGGAGTTACAATTGAATATTTCACTGTACATTGCATGGCAGGCAGACAAACGCAAAAGTTTACAGACGGCGGTTTAAAATACTATAATGAGATACATATACATATATGCATATGAGATTTTTATTCAGCTACATATGTATGCCGGTAGTTGCATGCAGCGCGCTTTAAGGCCTACAACAACTTGAAACTGAACATTATTGCTAGTCAAAATAAAGATGGTACGTCTCGCCCAGCATACACACAGATAAACATACAATGTACACCAATTTGTATTGTTCACCTGCAGCCCAACCACAACTTCATATATAAGCACTTAACTGGTGACAACGACCTTGAGCCGCAGCCTCAACTAACTACTTGGCTGCTAGCTTTGCAGCCACTCAGCGGCCTTATATACATATATGCATATGTAGCAGCACTATTGCTTGTATAAATTGGTGCTATTATTGTATATGTAGCAATGTATGCGTGATTATAATTTTAGCTTTTAGATTTCTCTCAAAATACGCTGAACATGTTAACTTAAGAAAACAAAAACCGACCACGAACGACAAACAATTAAAACAGTACAGCGTCATAAACAAGCCGGAAGTACAATAAAGCCATATTCGTATGTGTATTTTTTACCAATTCAAAATTTTGATTTTTTTTTTTTTTTTGTTTTCAATCTCAAGTACATTGTTCACAAATTGTATACATGCTTTTACTAATTCTTAAAAATTCGTTTAATGAAAATGTATCAAAATTATCTCACAACGATCTCAAGTACATACATATGTATGTACATGTGTTACAGAAAAGGCGGAAAATATTTAGCTACAAGAGTACGAAGCATTTTAGGCAGATAGAAGAACACACAGAAACAATTGCTCATACGCGTTGTTGGCCAAACGCCATGCCAAAGAGTACGGAAAAGGCATTGCGTCTAATAAATACATACAAATTTCAGGGTTTAAAATTTGTTATTTTTTTATATAATGCACTCAAAATGTTTACATTTTCTAAAAGCTTTGTTTCAAAAAAATACAGTAAAGTCTCACTTCCTCATGTGACTTTCAAAAGCTTGAAAATAAGTATATTTTTGTCTTTATTTGACCAGGGCGAAATATCAAGTTATTTCGCTTTTGAAAGGCGTTTACTATATGTTTACCTACTTAGAAAGGTGTGCAACTACAGTGGTGGAAGAAATTATAGAAACTTTTTATTTTGACCAGTTTTGGCTATACATATTTCTTCTGTTTATTCGATGTTTAATATTTTTTATAAAAGTCTAGCGCATTATATAACATGCGCCATATAAATTCACATTTCAAACTTTGTACCAAAATTATAAAAATTCAGCAAATTTTACCAAAATATCCCAAAAATTTCAAACTTTTTATTCAGAATTTTTAGAAAAAATTTTAGGTAAATTGCAAATTTCTTTTTTTATGGATGAAAATATCTATATGCGCTAGACATTTTTAAAAAATATTAAACATCGAATAAACAAGTGCAATATAGCCAAAACGGGTCAAACTAAAAAGTTTTTATTATTTCTTCCACCACTGTATATATTTATATGAATATCCACTTACATAAATAAGTCTGTATACATTTACATACAATGCTTATGTACATACGTATGCAAGTATGCAATACATATGTAAAACTACCGAGACCGTAGCTACTTAAGTACAAAGACTCTCGAAAAATGCTTGAACTTAAGATTGTTAATTTATTTAAAAAAGTATGTTTTAATGAGCAAATCAAAATTTCAAAAAGTTTATAAAGTTTCTTCCAAGGCGTATTCATATAAAGTGATGCTACCAGAGCTGCCGATTTTAAGGCGAATTTGTGCCGGAGAGCTTTTTGGGAGTGTTGGCAAAATGCGTAAAGATGCGTTTAAACCTTTCTCTAGCGATTTCCGGGCAGATGAGAAGGACCGCCTGTGATCAACAACCGCCCAGTTTGCCTACGTAACTCAAATGCCCTTCCTGCCCGAGTTAATGGACTCGAGCGAGCCCTGCCTAGCCAATTCAGCAGCCCTGCAATTACCAGTGATGCCAGTGATTCCTGGAACCCAAATCAGCTTCATTTTGAAGTATTCCGAGGCGGTAGAGGGAGAGGTCAGGCATTCCCTGAACAGTTTCGCAAAACTGCAGCAAAACATTGGTGCATAGCCGATCGCCTGGCTCATTTATAGCGGTCACCTCTTCCTGAAAGAAGCTGTATTGATCGGACAGGAATACTGTTCCTAACAGTAGAAACCTCTTTAAACTCTCCCGTCCAGCTTTGCTTTGTCCGTGAGGATTTTTATTGAACCTCTACTTCAGATATTGTCATTCTCTTATTCGCCCCTTGGAGGCATGAGCGTGGAGAAGGATCCGTTTGAAGCCAGCCTCGGAACACTCCGCTTTATTTGATTCGATAGGAAGGCGAAAATTTTGAGACTTGTCGAGTGCTCGCACGCTGGGTTGAAAGAGAACCCAGAGCTTTCATGTAAGAATTAAAATAGTTTTGACCTGGAAATCTGGATATATGTAGATATATGCTTATCATTCTCAAGAAAGTGCATCGAAATTACGCCAAATGCGCTAATTTTATAGTAGTAAGTTAGTATCAGGCACAGCTACCAATCAACTCATATTCATATCCATACTCATATTCTTATTTTTAAACATCTTTGTAAGCTTCTTATTCATTCTCTTATTATATCCATATTTGTTTTCATATTAATTCATACTCATAGTCGTCTTTATTCTTACATCCGTATTCACTCTTATATTCATGTTCACTTTGCTACTCATATTCATACGCATACTTATATTCATATTTATATTCAAACTCTTATTCACATCCACACCCATTTCATATATACCATTTTTCCCCAACCATGCCAAAAATGTTTCATATCATTTCTGGAAAGCGGCATATTAATTTAAGAAATTGTGATAGAAGAAAATTTCTTATTTGTCATTTGAATTTGTGATAAAAGAATGGGACCAAATGAATTTTAACTGGTATAATCTTTGTATTCCCTAAAGGTTAAGAAAACGTTTAAGATGTATTCAGGACCACGGAGGTCCAAAGCATTATTAAAAAAATAAATAAATACAAACAAAAACAATAACAATAATTTTTTATATTATAAAAACATCAAAAGTGTTCATCAAACAAAACCATGTTTACCCCTTTCATTGTTTTCACAACGGTTCTCGAAAGATAGTTAAAAATATTTTTTGGTATCTGCTATATGCGTAGACAACATATGAGAGAAAATTTTGGAGCAATTTCTTTTTAAGTGGAAACTAGCGGAATTGGCCAGGCATTTACTAGCCCAATCCAAATGTGCTATAGTTATTGGGAGGTGTGTTTACATATACAAGTATATATAAGTATATGAGACTACTTCTGTGTGGTTATGTGTTATTGTTAACCTTTTTCGCTCCTCATTTATATCGCCTCAGCTATATATAATAGTACTAGCATATCATACATACAATTGTATATGTTTTAAATTCATGCTGCTTGTCTAATTTCCTCTATAATGAAAACGAAATTTAACATTGCAAACAAAATTGAAATTGAAAGTAAATAATATACCACTGGTTTATTTGCAATAACTCTTAGCGTGTGAAGCTTACCTTTGCTGTATGTATTTCCTCAAGGTGTAAATTAGTTGTGTTGATTCGCTGATTTGTTATTTATGTTGCTTTGAACTTATTGCTCTTTAGTTTTGAGTTGTGTTTTTTTTTTGTTCTTGGTTTTTTACTTCTTATATTTTTAATTTACTTTATTTTTTATTTTTAGCGCAAATACTTTAAAGGGCTGCTGCAAATACTGTTCTTGGCACTTGTGAAAATACACCACTACGTTTTTTTCAGGCTGTTACTCATACGCCGGGGTGGACGAGTTCTAAAACATTAGTGTGTGTTACTTAGCTGCGTAAGAGAGAAAGTATACATGTATACATTTAGTGCTTGAGAATTTGACTATTTTAAGGCAAGCATTTTTGGTTTTCATGCTAACATTTATCTTAAAACTCCCACATTAAAAAAAATATTAATAGTCACAAATATTTTGTTTTTGTTTCCCTTATTTTGAGGTTTCCCATCAAATACCACATATTTTCTAAGCAAAGAAAAAATCGATTCGAAACCACAATAATTCTTGCATCATTCACAATCACGCTTTCGGCCAATTCTTTCATTGTGCGTGCGTAAGTTGTTTGTATACGTGTAACAGTTATATTTACCGAAGTTTTAACAATTATTGTTCATACATAGTATGTATGTAGGTATGTATATATGTATCTATGTATCTATATTTTCTTGAAACCACTCAAGCACACAGCTGTTTTACTGGCATCCACTGACAAGTTTTCTTTCGCAAAATGCATGCGAATGTATATGTATGTATGGGCGTGTGTTTATGTTTTGTTGCTTAGCGCTACCCGTTGCGCGCGCGTGCTACCCTGCAGGAAGTGATGTTAGCTTAAATCTAACTTTAATCTGTTTACGCGAACACTAGTGCTGACTATTAACTGGAAATTTTTTTGTTGTGGGGCGATGGTCGAGAAAAGTCAGAGCTGGATACCCGTGCATTAGGTGCCAACTAACCTGTAACTAACTACTTTTGGACCTAAAATATCAGTAGGAAAAACTTAATCAGGGTATTTATCAAAACGCGTAAATGCCTTGTAACCTCGTAACTAACCGCTTTTGCCTATAATGTTAACTAAGTTTACGAGATTTACATAGATTTGTCATAGCTAATTAGAAGTGAGTTCTGTATTTACCGAAATCCCGCAAAAAAGCTAACTACAAATTGGTTATTTTTATCAATTGATAATTTTTCACTGCAGGGTAGTTAGTTACTCACATTTCTTTGTATGTGAGTTGCAAGTTTTTTTTTTATTATTTTGTTTTTATAATGTCTCTGTGCGATTGCTGCTGCTGCTGCTGCTGCAGCATGCAGCCACAATTAATTTCACTTTTTTTCCTTGAAAGCAAAACAACAATTTGCGCGTGCTGTTTATTGTTGTAATTTGTTGGAGTTGCTGTTTGCCGTTTTTCTATTTTTGCTGTTACCCACTTTGGTGTTTAAGTTTATAATTATTTTTGTTTATTTGTATTTGTATTTGTTGTTGTTGTTGTCTTTATTGTTGTTCTTCGTAACTTGCTCGCATTTGCTTGCATTGTTGTAATTATGTGCTGGTTTTATAATTTTTTTTTTCACTAGCTGCGTTGGTTAACTCGTTTGTTTCTTGCGGTTATTGAAAACTTGTTTGTTGTAGTTTTTACCACCAGCTAGTTTCTTGACTTAAAATTTCGTATATCATTTTCGTTTATTTTGCGTATTATTTTGTTAACATACCGTGGCGGTCAAAAGTGGTTGAATGGTGTTTCGTTTTTAATATTTACAATGCTTTTGAAGCTAAATTTTTTTTTCGATATCTTTTTATAAAAATATGGTTTATGCCTTAACAAAATCCATATAAATCACACTTTCAAACTGAAACAGAACTTAGAAGAATTTTAAAAATTTTTATATATATTTCGAGCTTTTTAAGCAGAATTAACAGTTAACAGGCTTATAATATTTTAGTGAAGCGGCTAAAAAATCTTTTTGATTTTTAATACTTTTTTTTGTTGACGGTGTTTGGCACTTTTATTTAAAATGGCAATTTCAATATCCTTTCGTCCTTGTGAACAAAAAAATTTTTTTTTTAATTCTACAGAATTTTCTTTTCGTTTGATACCCATACTTTGAAGTGCCTTAAAAAAGTCGTGACGTCAGAGAGAAAAACTAAAAACACAGTTTTACTCTATTTTGCGCATAATGAGTATATTGATTGCTTCGTATGTTTCAAATTTTTTTTTTTTGTTTTTGTCGCACGGTATTATAATCAATTCTTTGGAGGTTTTTCTGCATATTCTCAAAAGATGTTTCGGTTTAGAAAGTAGCAAAGTACGACTGCTGGAGAGTCTACAAAAGGACGACTATAAATATCATAAAACTAAAATCTATTACAACTCTTCGATGTTTTTATCTGGCTCCAAATGCAGAAGTTCACTTAAGTGGAGAGAAGACTGAAGCTGGATGGTTTTTCGGTAACTTTGTAGCAGAGACGAAGAACAACAGGTATGATCAAAACTAAATGTCGATCCCGTTGCTTTGTTCCCAAGTGCGCTTAAAAACCTAAACCGAAATAGGAACACGAAACTTTCGGAAGTGTTTTTACAAGAACGAAAGTGAGAACAAAACTGACGATAATCACCTCAATGAGAATTATATACGAAGAAAACCCTGGAGAACGTTCCCAAAGCGAACAATACTTTCGGGATAATTTTTAAGAGAACAAAATTGTAACAAAAGTGTCTGGAATATTCTAGCAAAAAAAACGGGAGAAAAGTTTTAGCAACGTTTGGATAAAGAACCAAACGGAAACAAATCTTCTCCGAACTATTCGGGAAGAGCGGAAGCGAGAACAACATTTCTCTCATAGCTCGGCATGAGTTTGAAGTTTCTGAACATTTAAAGAGACCCCTAAGCGCCACTGTTTTAATAATCTTGGAAAAATTCGAATAAGTAGAAATGTTTCGAAGGAAATATTTCAAAAAAAGTTATGCTTCTTGATAGATTAAACAACGAGAATTGCGAAATTATTATCAACTAAGTATTTGGTCAACATACTTTCTTATTTTGAAAATAACTAAGCAGAATGAATTTACCAATATTGGAACACAGCCAATGAACGGCATACTCGAAAAAAGTTCTATAAACAACCAATTTCTTTTATAGTAGTTCTATTGAAAAAAGCGAGTAGTTGAAATGACCCAGCTTTCCTCTAGCCTAGAGTTAACAATTTATTACCCCAACTAGCAGACGGGGGTGAGAATGCGTACCAGTTTCGGCTTAGTGCTGCGCTAGAACAAAATGTAATGTCAAGGACGTTCCTGAACACGGTCCGAACATTAACAAAAGTATTGAGAAGATTTTGAAAGTGAAAAAAATGGCAACAAAACGTTTAGGAACGTTTCCGTAAAGTACAAAATAAGAACAAAACTCTCGGAACGCTCTCAAAAAACAAAAAAAAAAAAGTTAAAAAAAAAACCTGAAGAACGTTCGCAAGAACAAGGTAATGAGAACAAAACTGTCGGAAATGTCATCAAACGGAAAAAAAATAAATGGAAATAGAACTATCAAGAACAATAGAATAAGAACGAAACCTTCGGAATAATGTTTTCAAGGATGAACAAATAAAAACAAAAGTCTGGGGAACGTTTTCGCTCTGCAAATATGAAAATGCTCAGAAGAAGGCCGCAATTCATTACAAGTGAAATAAATTAAATCTGCATAACAGAAATAATTACTATTTGAATTTTATTTTTTCGATCACAAATCGTCGGCTCAGTGAAAGATCGATCTAAATTTCTTGGCAGCTGGTTGGAAAACGCCCTATCTCAGAATTTATTTCAAAAATGTCCCTACCTCAACTGAAAATATATATAAAAAAGTTCGATCTTCAATCAAATTCTGATGTAGTGTGTCCTTGAGCCATTTACCGAGATAGGTCGGTCTTCCGCTCAGTTTTCGAAATAATGATTATGATTTATATTTTTCCGCTCAAAGATAATAATAATTATTTGAGTTTTATTTTTTATAAAATTTAAAAGGCCATATATAAGAAATCAACTGAAATTTATTTGAAAAATTTGAGACGTATCCCTTTTATTAGGGTGTTGCTACCCCTGAAAAAGATAAATCAGAAGTAATGAATCATAAAATAATCATTATTTTTTTACCGAAAAACTAAAACTGCAATAGAAATTAAAATTTTTAACTTTTAATTCAGTTTTATTTTTTGATTAAACTCGAAAAATAAAATTCATTTTAGATTATAGTAGGACGAACGCAATTTTTTTAGTCGGCGATTTGGTAATATTTATCTCTTATATGGATAAGTTCTGCTTTGTTATAAATGCGGCAATTAATTTTGACCACCTTACTTGTACCACACGCCACACCGTGCGCCCGTTAGGTTTTTTATTAATTTTTTGCCTAAATTTTAGATTTTTTTTTGAAACTCATTATATATTTTATGATTTGACCGCTACTTTTATGCAGTTAATGAGTCTTTTTTTTTACATTTACCACTTCAATTAAACTTTTCTCTCTTATAAGTTGCACGGCAATCTTGCACGCTATTCATTTAGAAATCATTTCACTTTTCTTACGCTTTAGTTGTTGTTGCACTATACACTTTGTTGTTGTCGTCTTTTTTTTTTTGATGATTGTTGTTGCTTTTGTTTTTGGCATCAATGACACTAAACACATGCAACTTTCACAGCAGCAGCAGCAGCAGCACACAAACTCAACCGGAATGGTCACTCTAAAATGAATTGGAAGTTACCGAATTGCTTAGAGCAGCAACGAAAAAGAAAAAAAAATTGGAAAACTGCGAATAAAACTCAAATTTTTGCAAGAAAGCGCAAAGCTTTTTTTTTATAATTTTTATATGCCTAATTTTTGTCGAATTTGATCTTTCGTTTTTTTCGGAAGACTTTTATTTTTCCGTTATTTATTAATGAAGTTGTTTCACAATCTATTTGCCAACATTAGGCGCTTGGGAAATAATTTTCCTGCCACTCAAACATTCAAACACCTGTTGTCACTTTAGCAGCAGCAGCAGCAGCAGCAGCGGAGCAATTTCACATCACAAACATGTACGACTAAATATACACTTTTCTTCATCGCCCATTGTCAACGCTCAATAGCAGCACGCAGCACTGTCATCAAAAATTTTCTTTGCTTCAAATGCCAGCGAATTTCGAAAATTTTCCGTATTTCATATTCGACACACAAGTGTCGTGAATGAAATATTTCCAATAGATTCAACCAAAAAAAAAACACAAGAAGAAAAAGGCAAGCAAAATGTTTTCGAACTACACTTGTTGCACGTAAATACGTTGAAAGCATACGTACAATGTAAATATGTAATATATATGGCGTATGTTGTTGTTGTTGCTAATGCAATGATTGCATATTGTACACGCACACCCAAAACCGCTCCACTACGTCCACTGAAGCGATGCCGAATTGTGTTGAAGAAGCAACTAACTAACTCACTAACTAAGCAAGCAAGCGACTAATAATAAGTTAGAAACTCGAACGGTAACGGTAACGGCAGCCGAAAACCACACTCAGCAAACGCACTCGACGACTTTCGCGACTCAACTGTTGGCCAGGCGCTGCAGCAAGTGGCCGCTCACCGTCACCACCAGTCACCAGCCAGCCGTTGCCGTCGCCTTCGCCTTAGCCGCTGCTACCAGCAAGTCAAACCAGCCGCCAAGCATAGCCGAAAAAACCGTCAACAAGCAACAACAAATAACAACAACAACCGAACACAGCTAATGAGCAGCAATGGTAGGCAAAAATACAAACAACAACAACAACAACATCACCACCAACACCAGCATTCAGCTATAAAGCACAAACGCATACTTTGCTACAAAGCTTGTATTACTGTTACCGTTGGCAAATTGCTAGTATGTACCCAGTTAAGTATGCGTGCGTGTGTTTCTTTAGCTCGCATACTAGGCCACGTTCGTTGCTTAAGTCATTCGTTTTCTGGCTATCGGCCATTGTGAGCTTTTGGCTTTTTCAGCTGCAATGCCCTCATCGCTTACTTGCTTTGCCTTCATTCCACGCTTTAGCATTGCTAGCGTTGTTGTTGCCATTTCGCATAGCATTTATTTTTCAACTTCTTCAGCTATTTAGCTAGCGAAACAGCTGTGCAGCTTGTGAGCTTGGCAAGTCTTTTTGTTGTACATATACATACATATACATTTGTACATACATACATCTTGCTTTTTACGCCTTTGCCCCGCTGCTTTAAGCTCTGCTGATTACATATACTGCTGCCGCTGCTGGTGCTAAGCAATAGCCGCGCTACGCTTCGCTTCGTTTGTGGATTGTTGCCGAGCTGGTAACTGGATATCATTGCTTACTCTCATTTTAGTTTACCCTTTCCTTTGCCAGGTGCTTTGGTTTCGCGACTGCTTTAGTTTTATTTACTTTGATTTTTTATGTGCAGTGCAAAGCTTTAATCGCAATGTTTGCAAAGCAGGAGATGCAGAAGAAAAATAAGTTAAAGAAGAATGGCATGTTACGAAGCATAAAACGCAGACAAAAGAAGTGGATTAACTCGCTTGCGTGATCGAGCTTTTGCTGCAAAACTTATTGTTAGACAATACTTATTTACTCTTAAAATGTGAACGTCTGAGCTGAGTAGTATGCAATACAGAAGTTTGTGGTAATTTAAGAGTGTAAAGTTGTAACTTTAAGTTCTCTTAGGTGCTGTGATTAAGTGGGCGCAACTGAGGGATTAAAAACGCAAGCAGTTCAAAAATTAAATCCTGCTTTAATTTAGGAAATTAAAAATCAAGATTTCGTTAGGTTGGGTTGGCTAGACACTGCTCGGCTTCGCAGTGACCACTGAGATCCATAGCGTTATCAGAAAAACGACAACCAAATTAGATAGATAACACTGGTCAACAATGGTTTTGGTACCAAGCAGCTGTAATTATTTTTTAAATTATACTGATTGTATAAATTGAAAAAAAAATAATTGTATTTTCGATGTATAGCTTTCTAGATTTTGAGATGTGTGTATATTAAAACACAAATTTTCAATAAAAACTACATAACTTACCTTATTATTAGGTTGATTTACTCGGTTTTTTTCCAAACCAGTTTCAACCGGATTTTTGCATAATTTTAGGTGTTGTTTTTTTAAACCTTGGTTTTGGAATGCCGAGTAAACCCGATTTTTCCAATCAAATAAACCGGGTTTTTATATACGATTCTCATCTAACGGCAGGTTATTAGGTTGATTAACTCGGTTTTTTCCCAAACCAGTTCCACCCGGATTTTTGCATAATTTTAGGTGTTGTTTTTTTAAACCTTGGTTTTGGAATGCCGAGTAAACTCGATTTTTCCAATCAAATAAACCGGGTTTTTATATACGATTCTCATCTAACGGCAGGTTCACGAAAAGGCCAGCTCCGACAGGTATGGGCCGTATGGAGACGGACGTTATATTAGCTGTTGTAAGCAGCCCTGGATTTACACTAGGTGTCTTCGCAACACTGGCCCAGGGCGGCAGATTTTGGGAGGCAGCAAATTCTGAAATCTTTATAAATTTTACTAATATTTTTGTTATTTTTATTGATGATAATTCAAACTAATTCGGTTATTGACTATCAACTTTGCCACAGAAATGTATTTTATGCAAACACCACAGTTTGCAACGCCCTGCTATGCTTATTCAGTGAGACTACGGAATTCATCAATATTTACTCAAAATTTATTCATTAACAAAGAATTGGTTTTTCACAAAATTTTGGGAAAATGGGCGTGGCACCGCCAACTTATATCATATATATATGTGTATTACCGTTCTCGACCAAATTTGGTATACAAATTGTGCTTAGCCCCCTCAAGCGCCGTCTTGCAAAGTTTTCAAATAGGACAAAATTCATACACTCCACCCACGCCACGGTAATTCCAAAAAACTCAAAGCTAGTTATATTTTAGGGGGAGTATTAAATTTCAAAACTCTTCAAGAAGATGCCTAAGGAGCCTAGGGCAATATGTATACCAAATTTAGTCAAGATCAGTGTAGTAGTTTTTGAGATACACATATATAAGCTATAAGTGGACGGTGCCACGCCCATTTTCCAAAAATTTTATGATATACCAACTTTTTGCTAATGAGCCATTGTGTATATATGTATATCAATTTTGACTAAATATTGATGAATTCCTCAGTCACACTGCTTAGAGGTCTATGAATCCCCTTTTCAAAACGTGTTTGATTTTTAAAATCAGATTAAAAATAGTCAAGGTTTTTCTTACTGAAATAAAAATGCAGGGTTCAAGAACTATAAGAAACCGATTTTCATTTTGTACTCGACCCTACCTACAATCTACACTAAGTTTTGTTTCGGGTGTATTTCGTGTGATTTTTTTTTTTTTTTTGTTGGAGCCCCATATTCAAAGATACTTTTGGGATTTTTCGGGACTTTTAGTGTTTTTAATTTTCGGAATTTACTTGGGAGTTTTTGGGGATGTTTTTGGAAAAAAAATGTTTTTTTTGCCGAGCATAGCCGCCTGTTTACATTTTCCGTCATATCTTCGGCGTTTACAGTCGGCTGTCGAGAAGACAATTTTTTTCCAAAGTACCCCATTCTTTCATTTAGCCAACGCATATCAGTTCTTATTAATCTAAGGTACCAGCCTAATGTCAGTAAATAAAAGCTCGCTAAAAAATCATTAAACTTTTACTAGAGGAGTGTTTCTATATTTTTTTGCCGAACATATCTTCGGTATTTACAGTCGGAGCTCGAAGTGTGATATATCGCTGTTCTTGTCTCAAGGAGACCATTTTTTTGTTCCAATGTTCATTGACATCAAGTACCCCGTTGCCGTACTTACCCACCAGATCACAGTTTGTATCATCCTAACGTACCACTCTAATGTCAGTTAATTAAACCTCACCAATGTTTTTTATTGCCGAATATATTTACATACATATCTGTCGACCAATAGAAAAAACCTTTTTTCCGAAATCGCAAAAAATACAAAAAAAAAAGTATAAAAAAGCTGGTACGGCCTAATGTGCATACATACTATATAAATACATGTATTGCTGAAGATATTTCAACTTATCGCTTTCAGCAAAGTTCTCGAGTTGCGACGCCTTGTTTTTAACTCGAAGCCAAATAATATAGCCTTCAAAAATTTTACCAAAAATTCAAACTGTTTAAATTACAGTTATTTGCGACGAAAAATTAAGCAAATTTAAATTATTTGACAAGCAAAAAAAAAGTGTTTTGCGAATGTCAGCGCAAGCAAGCTGTGTTGGCAACAGCAGGAAGCAACTCACCTTTTGTCATTCTGAGCATGATAAATACTCGTTTTTGAGACTTTAGGATTTTTTTCGCCTTTTTCTTGTTTGTTTTTGTGTTTTTTTTTTTTTGCTACTCATTTTATTTACTTTATATTAATTTTGATTAGTCAATATCTAAATTCGATCAACAAGTTTCATTTTCGCCGATCATTTAGCCGACAATCAACCTTTTGCGTTAGACATGTGTGTGTGTGTTGGCTGTCTACGCGCATGCGTCAATGTCAGCCACTGTTGTTATGCTGAATAGATTGATTTCTTATTTTACGTAGTTTCATGCGTTAACATCTACGATTGATTGTATCTGTTTCATGCGTTAATGCGATTTGATTTAATGAGCAATCAGCTGCTGTTTTGATGAGTTGCAATAAAGATGTCATTGAATTAAAATTGGAAAAAAGGAAGAATTTTTGTGCGCGTAAATCTTATGTACAAATAGGCAAACACGATCTCTTTACACCCCTTTTACGGGCTAAACTATACTTCTAAGGTATAGGGAATTATATATCACTAGAAAGGTATTTTGACGCTGATGTGCAGCGACTTACCTCAACTCTGCTTAATTTTAGCGGTTGAATTTCGACCGCTGGGCGAACACCACTTTTAATAATCGTTCAAATATATATGAAGCCACAGACTGCTTTGACCAATACCGTTGTTTCAGCTGCTGCTTTGCAAACCAAATTGTTTAATTATTACTCCCAGACAAATTATAAAGAAATCATTTTTTTTTATACTAATTAAAAATTCTCGGTTCTAATTTTTTCATCCACGCCAATATTCTTAATTCGAAATATGCAAATTAGTAGAAATTTCTATAAATACTTAAGTCGTTAGCCAATTAGCATGTGTACATGCTTCTCGATATTTTTGACCTCTGCCCATTTGCTCCAACGCTCATTTATTCCCTCTTCTCTGCACACATTTCCTTAATCAACGCTGGCTATGTGTATTCTTAATTTTTAATTTTATTTTACCTCTGCTGCTTCGTTAGCGGAGCGGTTATGAAATTTCGCTATTAAACAGTTAGACCAAAAATTTTGAAATTTATGCGTGAAAATATTATGGGTTTAAAAGAGTTCAATGCTTTCGTTAAAATGCTGCAGTTTTTTCTTCTTCTTTAATATTTATGGTTTCTTTTTGTGCATATTTGTCTTTCCCAGCTGGCGCCTTGTAATGAATGTTATTTTTGAACCAAAAATTTATGTTTCATCTTTTCTTTTTTTTTTTGAATGAATGGATGTTTTTGTTCATGTAGGCAGTTCAATGAACATTGTTTGTAGGCGTCTCT